GGACCTAAGCGTCCTCAAGAAGTGCAGTCTGCTGTGTCCCTTCTTGTAAATGGCTTCGCTGTTCTTTCTCCAGTCCAGTCTGTTGTCCAGGTGAACTCCAAGGTATTTGTATTCCTCAACCACCTCCACTTCTTCTCCCATGATGGAAACGGTGTTTAACTGACAGTGCTGCCTGCTTTGTCCAGATGACAGTGGATTGATTGAAGCAGCTGGATGATGGCATCTTCAACTCCAACTCCATGGCGACAATCAAACTGCAGCGGGTCCTGATATGTTCTAGTTTGCTTATTCAGGTGGACCAACAGGAGTCTCTCCAGGACCTTCATGATGTGGGATTGACGGATGGGCGAGTTTTCTTTGGAACTGGAACAAGGCAGGACTGGAACCTTCTCCTGGGCTAGGCTGAGGTTGAAGAGGTGCTGCAGAATCCCACAGAGCTGCTCTGCACAGGTCTTCAGTACCCTGGGGCTGACACTATCTGGACCTGCAGCCTTGTTCCTGTTCCGTCTCTCCAGCTGCCTCTTCACCTGACTTCTAGAGACAGAGAGGTGGGAGGGGGAGGTAAATGGGGCAGCAGCATCTCCTGGCTTGGTTGAAGACAGATTTATAGAACCAGAAGAGTCCATGACTGCATTGGAGGACAAGAGATCTGGCGTGTGACAGGAAAATGTTGGATCAGAGGAGGATGGGATATCTGAATGGCTGGGGACAGGCGAGGAGGATGCTGGGTTTGTTCCTTAACTGAACCTATTGAAGAACTTGTTCAGTTCATTGGTTGTGTCCAGGCTGCCATCTGTGCTATCCTTCCTCTGCTTGAAGCCTGGGATCTTCTTCATCCCTGACCAAACATCTCTGATATTGTTCCTCTGTAGTTTGTTCTCCAGCTTCTTCCTGTATGCCTTCTTGCTGTCTCTGATCTTGATCTTCAGTTGCTTCTGTATACTCCTTAATAATTCCCTGTCTCCCTCCTTGAAGGCACTTTTTTTTCTCATTTAGCAGATTCTTCAGTTCACTGGTGATCCAGGGTTTGTTATTAGCGAAGCATCTCACTGTTCTGGTGGGTATGATGTTGTCCACACAGACGTTTATATAGTCAGTGACACATCCAGTCATGTCATTGATGTCCTCTTCATATCCTTGGCAGAGAGTCATCCAATCTGTGGTCTCAAAACAACCCTGCAGGGCTTCTTCAGCATCCTGTGACCATTTTCTCACAGTTCTTCTTGTCACAGGTTGCCTCTGAACAAGTGGTTTGTATTCTGAGCAGAGAAAAACAAGATTGTGATCTGATTGTCTCAGAGGAGGTCTTGTTTTGGACATGTATGCATTCTTTACATTTGCATAACACAAATCCACTGTCTTGTTTTCTCTGGTGGAGCAGCTGGCAAACTGTTGAAATGTTGGAAGTATAGCAGAGAGTGAGGCATGATTAAAATCACCAGATATAGCCACTGTTCCGGCTCTCAGAGAGTGCACACGCTTTTGCTTCAGCTCCCTTATCTGCTTTTCCTAAGGCTCTCTGTCCTGTCTGCCTACAGAGCACTTCTCTGCATTTCTCCTGAAAATCACTGCTTTTTTTTTTTTTTTTGGAAAATGGACTTAATTAACCTGTCATTCAACGCGATTGATAAGATTTTTTCTACGATGAGAACGGAGAAGGGGGCTCCCACCTGTCCTCAAGAGACAAACTGTTGGGTATTTTTATTTATTTATTTATGTATTTAATCCAGGCGTACCTCAAAGAAAGTCCAAAACACACAAGGGGGGTTAGAGATAATATTGTTGTTATTAAAACCATTTACCAATAAACACCAATGATCAATAATCAGATTTTGCAAAACTGGAGGGAATAAAGGAAACCCACACAACAAGGAGGTTGTTTAGTCTCTCAACAAGCAGAAACTCATCAAAAGGTTTTATTCACAGATGTCAAAGCACACACACATTGAAAGTTGACCCAACCTCCTCCTTAACTTTCCCAGGTTCAGAGGGTTTGTTGTGATAACAACGACTGCAGACTTACAAGGTCGATTTTCCCCTGCGGCAGGGGCCGGTTAATGACACCAGATGTTTCTCAGACAAAATCATATTTACCACATTAAATGTGAGTAAGGTTAATGAACTCTGTTTGAAAAAACAATCTTTTTACCCAACACATACGCAGCGGGATATGCACTCGATTCTTGGGAAGTCTGGCGAATCGTGTGCCTCTCTCAGTTGTCCATCGAGGACGTGGAAGATTTATGGATATTTGGCCTGATGATCACTGGATTTTTTCTGATTGAAGTGGGTGGATATCTGGTTTTCAGGAAATTTGGGAAGACGGGAGCGATTGGAGTGCGACCCGTACCCACGGAATGTGCCGCCCGTGCGGTGACCTCACAGACTGGGACGTTACTCGAGGTGAATCGTAAGCTGGACAATGTCCTCGCTGCGTTGCCGGTGTTATTGCGCAAGATGGATGTCATCTCGGAGGGGGTTGCCGGACGGTGTGGGATGTTTAGAACGTATAATTGGCTGCATTGGTACACATGAATGATCACTTAATAGACTCCAAGGCAGAGGAAAATTATCTCTGTCTGCCCTAAACAAAGTCTGTTATCCTAATCTGACGCCAAGGCAGCCTCCACAGCTGCCATCAATATCACCCCCACGAAAGGAGGAATGTAGATGGATGCTGTGACCCGACCTTCCCCCCCCCCTGCCTTCAGATTCTGACTTCTGCTTCGAGGTCATCAACCTGCAGGAAACTCAGTGTGCTCTCTGGCCCTCCTCTCTCCCTCCCACCTGTTTGACTGCAGCTGGCTGAGCGCCGTACACTGGCAGCTCCCGTTGGAGGATTCAGGATCCCGCCCCCGCCCGCCTCCCTATCGGAGTCTGATGTTATCTGTGATGTTTTTGTAACTGAGGTGGTTTTTTTTTTGCATAGTACAGCTACGCCCTGTTGGGTGTAACTATGGTATGCCTGTTTTTTTCCCTCCACCAACCTATCCTCATGTAATTCCTTTTCATCTATTAAGGTAGCGCGACTCATGTTGCGAATGACCGCAGTCACCAATTTCCTTCATGTGTCTTGCCCATGTATGTCTGATCTCTGAATTGTGTGTACTGAAACTCAATTTCGTTTCTCTGTATGTCTTGCACATGTGGTAGAAATGAGAATAAAATGACTTTGACTTTGAAATGCATTGGGGTGCTGGGTTTGTAGCTTAGCGACAACGAAACTGATGGCGGCATCACATGCATTTACAGCAATGGCTGAAGGTGGAATATAAATGGTTGCCAAGACAACACTGGTGAACTCTCTTGGCAAATAATATGGGCGACAACTTACTGCCAAGAGTTCAACATCTGGGCTGCAGAGATGACATTTCACTGAAACATGACATGGATGGCACCGTCTGTTGTTGACAAGCACTGCCACTCCACCTCCTTTTCTTTTCCCGCTCCTCTTCAGATCTCTGTCTGATCGTACAGTCAGGAATCCTGGCAGAGAGACGCTGGAATCAGGGATATGGTCCTGCAGCCACGTCTCAGTGAAACACATAACACTACACTGCCGATACTCAGGCTGAGTCCTTGAAAGGGCTTGGAGTTCATCCATCTTGTTGGCCAGTGATCTCACATTGCCCATTATGATCGATGGAAGAGATGGTTTCAATTTCCTCTTTCTCTGCCTCCGTTTTGCTCCCGATCTGCACCCACGCTTCTTGCGTTTTAGCTCATTTGGGATCTGTGGCTTCAGTTGAGGTATCATTTCAGCGTTCCCAATGTTATCAGCTGCTCCCGATTGTAAACCTGCGTGTTGCCATGATTACGCTTCGTAACAAATGCTCAAAAAGTGAAAAAAATAGCAGTAAAAATCCTCCTAGATGTAGTCAACTTAGCTACTCCAACATGCAGCCACCCAGAGCAGCGCAGTTCCAGAACATGCTTTAATGCTCAGTCTGGCCACTATCTTTAACACCTGTTAAGAGGAAAAGTCACATCTTTATTTTTGCAGCCTTCAGGTCTTTCTGCAGACCCATTCTTCTGAAGTGTGAACTGTTGTGGTTCCCTGTCCCCCCTTCTCACACGTATGGCCTCATTTTCTTTTCCTGTTCTTCTTTCAGACATGCAGTCCTTTTTAGACCTCCTGCTTTGGTTTCTGAGAAGTCAGCATTCACACCTCTGGCATCTTGGTTCCGTTGGACCCAGTCAGCTTGTTCCACAGAACTGGGTGCAGAGCAGGGGGGGCAGTGGAGGCAGGGCAGAAGCCCACACACACACCCAGAGTCAGGGGCGGAAGTGCAGAGAGTGGGGACCAGTGTGGGCTGCGGGTCAAAGGTTTACACACCAAGAGGAGCTGAGCTCAGGCCTGTGTGCAGGAGTGGAATGGCCGGTGGTCAAAGGTTTACACAGAGGGAGACTATCTCAGGCTTGATTTATTTTATCAACATGCCTGAGACTAGTCTCCCTTCAGCAGAAAGCCTGTTAATTGTGTTAATAAGCGAAGGGCATTAAATTTGCTTTAACGACATATTTACGCAGATAGGACTTTACAGTCGCCCAGAATATTTTATTGAGGATGTTTTTCTGAAACCAGGTCTGTATGACCGACGTCACCTCGTCTTTAGAAGCAGCTGCAGCCGCTGGTATCAGAAATGGGGATCCGCGCTGCAACCTGAGCAATTAATCCATTCCACAAATTTCCAGTAGAACATGTTTGCTGAAAGATTTGTGCAATAATCACATTTTATTTTACTTCCACAAATGCTAATTTTACATTAGATATTACCAGAACCGGGGAAGGCTTGCCATCAAATTAGAAATCCGTCCCTTGTTAATTACAAGTCAGGCTGGGCAGCTCACTGGCTGCTTCCAGGCCAGCGACATTCAAGAGCTACCGGTAGCTTACGACCAACATGTTGGGAGACCCCTGCAATAACACAACTCTCATATGTGTGAATTTAAAGTTACAGCAGACGGTAATTCACGTTATGTGTTTCTGTTTCCTACAGATGTTCAACAGATGGTGCAGGTTAAAGAAGATCCTGAAGAACAGAGTGCTGGTGTGGACCAGCAGGACCCAGAACATCTCCACATAAAGGAGGAAAAGGAGGAACTCTGGACCAGTCTTAAGGGAGAGCATCTCTGTTTGAAGGAGGAGACTGATTCTGCCTGGTTTCATTTCAGTTCTGTTTCTATAAAGAGTGAGGATGATGAAGAGAAACGTCTGTCATCACAGCTTCATCAGCAGCAAATAAAAGACAAAGATGTTCCAACCAGCAGCTCTTCTGACCAGATGACAGCGGAAACTGGTGGGGTATCAGGAACTAGCAGGAACCCAGATCTGAACCCTCATGAACAAACATCTGATTCTTCAGAGACTGAAGTTAGTGGAGATGATGATATGAATCTAGACTCTGGGATGTCAGACTCTGGGTCCGAAACTGGAGACGAAGACCATGACTGGAATGAGAAAAGGTCTTCTGAGTCAGGTGTTAAGACTGTCAACATATCCTTTAGCTGTCTTGAGTGTGGTGAACGATTTCATGACAAGCAGTCTCTCCAGAAACACGTGAGAGTAACCAACCATTCAGCAATCAGGTCTTCCAGCTCTTTGGGTAATAAGAAATCGTTTAGACTTAAGCAGCCTGTAGACTCATTTAGGGAAGTCCAGAAAGAACTAAAATCATTTAGTTGTGGTGACTGTGGAAAAATATTTAGTACAAAATCAAGTTTTAATAGACACCAGAGAATACACACAGGACAGAAACCATTTGCTTGTGAGTTCTGTGGACAAAGATTTACCCGAAAGGCGAATTTAAACGATCACATGAGAGTCCACACAGGACATAGACCTTTTGTCTGTGAGCTCTGTGGACAAACATTTAAACATAAGTCGAGTTTAAACGATCACACGAGAGTCCACACAGGACAGAAGCCTTTTGTCTGTGAGCTCTGTGGAAAAAGATTTACCCAAAAGGTGAATTTAAACAGTCACATGAGAGTCCACACAGGACAGAAACCATTTGTCTGTGAGCTCTGTGGACAAAGATTTAAACATAAGTCAACTTTAACCTGTCACATGAGAGTCCACACAGGTCAGAAGCCTTTTGTCTGTGAGCTATGTGGACAAACATTTAAACATAAGTCGAATTTAAACGATCACACGAGAGTCCACACAGGACATAAACCATTTGTCTGTGAGCTCTGTGGAAAAAGATGTACCCAAAAGGCGAATTTAAACACTCACATGAGAGTCCACACAGGACATAAACCATTTGTCTGTGAGCTCTGTGGACAAAGATTTACCCGTAAGTGGAATTTAAACGCTCACATGAGAGTCCACACAGGAGATAAACCATTTGTGAGTTCTGTGGAGAAAGATATGGACAAAAGAGAAATTTATTCAAGCACATGAGTGTCCACACAGGATAGAAACCTGTTTGTGAGCTCTGTGGACAAATTTAAAGTGACTGTGTGTATTTTCCCTGGCAATAGAGGGCATTAATTCTTACTTCTCCTGGCACTCACAGAGCACAGACGCTTCTGCTTTGCTCCCTTATTTTTTTTTCCCAAGGCTTTTTTGTCCTGTCTGCCTACAGATCGCTTCTCTGCATTTCTTCTGGAAATCCCTATTTTTCAGAAATAGATTTAATTAATTGGTCATTCAACGCGATTGATAAGATTTTTTCTATGATGAGAACGGAGGAGGAGCTCCTACTTGCCCTCATGGGACACACGCAGCAGGATATATGCTTGATTCCTGGAAGGAGTGGAAGGTTGTATGTCTCTCTCAGCTGTCCATTGAGGACGTCGAAGATATGTGGCTATTTGGCCTGATGATCACTGGATTTCTTCTGATTGGAGTGGGAGGATATCTGGTTTTCCAGAAAATTGGGAAGACGGGAGCGATTGGAGGGCGACCCGCACCCTTGGACAGCACCGTCCGGGTGGAGACCTCACAGACTTGGACGTTACTCGAGGTGAATCGTAAGCTGGACAATGTCTTAGCTGCGTTACCGGTGTTAGTGCGCAAAATGGATGTCATCTCGGAGAGGGTCACCGGACGGTGTGGAGATGTTTAATAACCCGAATTGGCTTCACTGAAGGACTGGAATGACCAATTACAGACTGAAGGCAGAGGGGGAAATTATCTCTGCCTGACCCAAACACAGTCTTGTTATCCTAATCTGACGCCAAGGCAGCCTTCAACTGCCAACAACAACCCCCACGACCGAAGGAATGCAGACAGATGCTATGGAAACCCGTGCCCCCTCCCCCTTCAGATTGTGGACTTCTGCATAGCGAGACCATCAATCTGCGGGAACTCAATGTGCGCTGCGCTACTCCCTCCCTCCTGCGGATACAGCTGGCTGAGCGCTACACATGGCTGCTCGCCCTGGAGAAAACAGGATCCCAGCCCCCCCCCCCCTCCTATCGGAGTCTCATTTTGTGAATGTTGATGTTCGTGCTTATATGTTTGAGGTGTTTTTTTTTTTTGCATAGTACAGCTACGCCCTGTCGGGAGTAACTCTGGTATGCCTCTTTTCCCTCCCCCACTTATCCTCATGTAATTCCCTTTTCATCTATTAAGGTAGCGCGACTCGTGTTGCGAATGACCGCAGTCACCAATTCTTGTCATGTGTCTTGCCCATGTATGTCTGATCTCTGAATTGTGTGTACTGAAACTCAATTTCATTTCTCTGTATGTCTTGCACATGTGGTAGAATTGACAATAAAACGACTTTGACTTTGATTTCATACATAAATGATTGCAAGCAAGCAGTATTTTTATGTTTGAGTAAGACTTTACGAGTGTATGGCTGTTAGGGTCAACAACCTCTGCACTATTCAAACATGTCTTGACAGTTGACAGCAACAGATTCCAAATGCAAATAGCACACTTGAAATGAACTCTGGACTTTTTATCTGCTCATTGTAATAGGGTTAGTGAGGGAATAACACACACCTGGCCATGGAATAGCTGAGAAGAAGAAGAAGAAAATATCATTTCTATAGCGCCTCTCAAGATAAAAATCACGAGGCGCTTCACAAAAACAAAATAAAAATTGTAAAAATATAAAAAACATTTCAAAAATGTTTAAAATATATTTAAAATGAGCAAGAATAAGCTGTTGCGATTTAAAAGAAAAAATGTTAAAAAAAGAGAGTGAACAGGAAAGAGGGAAATCAGTGGATCCTGAGGAAGGTGGGATAGGTGGGGAGAGCAGAATAAAGAGAGAGAGGTGAAGAAGGTCATACAAAAGCCAGCTTGAACAAGTGAGTCTTCAGCTGCTTTTTGAAGGAGACCACTGAGTCCACTGATCTCAGGCTCAGGGGGAGAGAGTTCCAGAGTCTGGGGGCCACAGCAGCAGATGATCTGTCACCTTTGGTCTTTAGCCTGGTGCTGCACAACCAGTAGGCTTTGATCACTGGACCTCAGGGACCTGCTGGAGGTGTAGGAACTAAGAAGATCACCAATGTAAGATGGTGCTTGTCAATGTAAGGCCCTGTAGACCAGAACCAAGATCTTGAAATGAACCCTGAAGTTGACTGGCAGCCAGTGAAGCTGGAGGAGAAGCGGGGTGATGTGGGTGTGTTTGGAGGACTTGGTCAGAAGCCGAGCACAGGCATTCTGAACCACCTGTAGACGGTTCAGGGAGGTTCTGCTCAGACACGTGAAAAGAGAGTTACAGTAGTCTAAGCGTGAGGAGATGAAGGTGTGGAGAACTGTCTCAAGTTCAGAGCGGGACAGAATGGGGCTCAGCAATGTTCCTGAGATGGAAGAAGGAAGAGCGAACAAGAGAACTGACATGAGAATCCAGGGTGAGAGCTGGGTCAAAGGTAGGGCTGTCGCGATTGAGGAATTCCCCCTGCGGTGAGTCAGGGCAGCTCAATATTGCGATATGCGATATTATTGCACCTCGTTTTTATTTATGTACTTAGCAAATTTGTTTGTTAATTACTAAACTCATGGCAATATTTCCTTTGAAACATTGTGCTTACACATTTAAAAAATGTTAGAAAAAAATACATGGCCATTTTTAACACTTTATTGAATGCAGATCAAAGGGCAGTAACGGCATTCTCTGACTGAACTTAAAAACGACATTCAGGAGGTTTAACTTTGAAATGCAAATTTGGCTGCAACATCTAACAGAAATAAAAAAAAGTGCCCTACTATCTCCTCGATCAGCGCGGACTTTACTTCTCAGCATGCGCTGTCGCGAGATTTAATCAAGTGCGGTAATTGCGGTGGCACGTCATGCAGCGCGGTGGGTTTCTTAATATCGCGATATATTGTTCTTGCGATTATTGTGACAGCCCTAGTCAAAGGTCACGCCAAGATTCCTGACGGAAGATTTGGTGTGGGAAGCAAGCTGACCAAGAGAGTCTCTGACTTTGGGAACCAGCTTGTCTGGAGCACAGATGAGGATCTCAGTCTTATCTTCATTCAGCTGAAGAAAGCTCCCACCATCCAGGTTTTGATAGAGTCTAAGCAGGTGTGTAACAGCTGCAGCTTAGACATCTCATGGGGCTTAAAGGAGATGTACAGTTACAGAAGCCAATTGTCCCATTACTTTTGGTCCCTTAACAAGTAGGAGGCATATGCTAACTGTTGTAATTCCTACACCGTTCACACTCACAGAAATATTTAACCTAAAACTTAAGATTTATGTTTTTTTACATGACAAATTCCCATTTATGTTTTTTTAGGTAATTTTTAGACAAACCTACTAAATAAACTTTACATGATGCATATTCATTAGTGTAATAAAGCCTATTTAATTGAAATGCACAATGATCAAGATTATGTATTTAGTATTAATAAAGTATAATTACTCTTAATTAATAATAATGAGGGTATTTATTTCAAATACATAAATAATTTTGAATTGCATAAAAATTAGGTTACGTATGCTGGATAAATAGGATATATTTATTTGAATTACATGTCATTTATACTTGTGTAATCAACCAAACCATTCAAAGTGCATCATATTTATTTAATTATTTTCCATTTAGTACAAACAATAATGATGCTTAAGAGCATACTACATCCAGCTCCAGCTGATGGATGTGACTGACAGCTCTCTGCTGCAGACTGAACTCTGGAGGCTCAAAGGAACGCTATCAGATCCACTTCACATCTAAACAGGTTATCAGAACCTCAGCGGGTCATCAGAAACTCCAACAGAACCACCGCGTCATCTTTAGAAGTCATGCTCTGTGGTGACATCATCAGGGTGGGTGTATATAAGGAACCCAGCAGATTGCATCAAGTCACTGACAGTGACTTGATGCAATCCTCATACTAAGCAAGCATGCAGCGACAGTGGAGAGGAAAACTCCCTTTTAACAGGAAGAAACCTCCAGAGATTCCTGGCTCAGTATAAGCAGCCATCCACCACGACTCACTGGGGATCAAGAAGACAGAGCAGGCACACACACACCAAGCAATGTGTCTATAGTTATGTTGTGATTTCTTAGTAAATATTCTATTTGGCGAGAGGTAAACTTTATTGTATTTATCCTAGTGGATCTATAATTAAATGGATAAACTAACAGTAGCACATCCAATGTCAAGGAAAGCAAAAAGTTATTATCAGGAGAGGGAGAATGTTTAAGTGGTTAGCAGCAGTGTGCTAGACGATGGCCCCCTCCATGAGGCCACCACAGCTGAGCAGAACATCATTGTAGCTTCTTCTGGGGAGAAAAACACTTGGAGACTTGGAGTTAACAGCTGAAATTGCAGAAAATAATACAGTTAAAGAGCAGATTGTGGAAGAAAGTAGTAGTGTGTGAAAAGTGGTCAGTGTATCCTCCAGCAGTCTAAGCTTATAGCAGCATAACTACAGATAACTCTGGATAACCTAGCCTTTTTAGATGGAGGCATGTTGGAGGCAGGGCAAGGGAGAGCCGTCTTTGCAGACTGTACACTCCACCTCCCTCTACTCCCCCACTTGTCCAGATCTAAGCTAACATCAGATTTTAACCATTAGCCCTATCAAATAAAAATGTTTTGGGCCTAGTCTTAAAATTAGACAAGGTGTCTGCCTCACGGACTAAAGCTGGGAGTTGGTTCCACAAGAGAGGAGCCTGATAACTAAAAGATCTTCCTCCCATCCTAATTTTAGATATTCTGGGAACCACCAGTAGACCTGCAGTCTGAGAGCGAAGTGCTCGGTTAGGAACATATGGAACAATCAGATCACTGATGTATGATGGAGCTTGATTATTAAGAGCTTTATATGTGAGAAGAAGGATCTTAAAATCTATTCTGAATTTAACAGGTAGCCAATGTAGGGAAGCTAAGACAGGAGAGATATGATCTCTCTTTTTAATTCTCATCAGAACTCTAGCTGCAGCATTTTGGACAAGCTGAAGACTTTTAACTACATTCTGTGGACTTCCTGAGAGTAATGAATTACAGTAATCCAGTCTTGATGTAATAAATGCATGAACTAGTTTTTCAGTTCACTCCTGGAAAGTATGCTTCTAATCTTAGCAATATTCCGAAGGTGGAAAAAGGAAATCCTACAAACCTGTTTCACCTGGGATTCGAATGACATGTCCTGGTCAGAGATAACACCAAGGTTCTTTACTTTGTTCTCGGAGATTAATGTAATGCCATTAAGGTCAGGTGATTGGCTAAGCAATTTCCTTTTCTGGATTTCTGGTCCAAAGATGAGAACTTCCGTCTTGTCTTGATTTAAAAGCAAAAAGTTTAGAGTCATCCAATTTTTTATGTCCTCAAGACAAGCCTGTAATCTACCCATGGGCGTCGTACCCGTGGGGGATGTGGGGGATTCAACACCCACACTTTTCCAGCCATGTTGCTCACCTCCACACCAGTCTGGTTTCTTGCACTCTGTTTGCCTCATCTCCTTCTTCCCCTCCCTCTCCTGTTCCTCCTTGAAACCCGACAGCCCATGTCGGGTTTCAAGGAGAAACAGGAGAGGGAGGGAAGAGCTCGACTGAATTCATAATTTTACATCTTGACATTAGCTGTACAAAGTCTGAGTTTGATAAAGTGGAGAACAGCCGTTTGCAGAGGTTTATAACAGGCGCGGCGCCAGGTTTTCATTTTTTGGGTGGGCCACGGTAATTTTGGACGGACCTTAATAAGCAGTGACTTAAGTGAAGCAGGCAGGTCGTGCTAGAAAATCTTGTTTAAAAAGACATCATAAATGTGTTCCCCCGTCATTTTTATTTCTAAAATATGAAGTAAAAACTCCCAATTTAATTTTCATTCATTTTTCATTTATAGTCACCAGAATGCATTACCTGCACTTCTAACATTTACCTCTCAACGTAGGACTCTTTCATAAGGGTACATGCACACCGGTAGTTTTTACGGTTATTCATGGGGCAAAATCTCCCACATTTTTGAAAAAATAAAATAAAAAATCCATCTTCCAGTAAAAGCAAAGCATCCAGCCCACCTCTCCAAATGCGTAAAATGTGCATCACAGCCGCTAATTAGGCGCGCACCATCAGCTACGTCAGCCCAGACAAGAGCAGAGCAAATAGAGAAAGAATAGAGGATAACTGTGTCTGGATGTGGATGGAGATTACATTTTACAGCAGCCTGATCATCATTTAAATACGTAAACCATCACCTGTCTTCTAGTCCATGCTATCAGCATTATTTTAATTGGTGTGTGTGTGTGTGTGTGTGTGTGTGTGTGTGTGTGTGTTTTCCACTTCAAACACTGGTCTAACCAGCCAGACCAGCGTGTCCAGTAACATATT